ATGTTCTCAAAAATACTTATTCCATATGTCAAAAAACAATATGAACATAAAAAAGTAAGAGCCATTTTAGTAACTTAAAAATATCTGCCTTTTTTGATTCAGAAGTTTACTTACAAGTCCTTTAAAGAACAGACTATTCCAACAGATAGTTTATGATAAGAAAGCCAGAGGTATTCCTCAATTAACAGGAACAAACACCTGTTTTAGAATAAGTAAACAAACCAGTTTGACCTGTTTTCATTGCAAGAAGAATAAGTCACATAGGCACCTACCCTGTAAGACATATATCTTCTCCTTGTACTCCACTGCATTATGAAACTCCATTGCAACAGGCATGGCACAAACTGTTGTCCAGCAATTCTCTCTGCTGTCATAGCACTCCACAGATTTCAGTGAGTTTCTCCCATCACCTTCATAAACACGACCACCAATTGCATACATCTTACCGCAGCAATATACCAGTTTGCAGCCAATTCTGGCTCGAAGCAAGGATGGTTTGAATAGCCACCTGTTGGTGGAATGGTCATACATCCAGAAATCATTTTCTGCCTTATGGTCGATGGACACCTCACTGCTGCTTGGCCTGTACCCTCCTGCGATGTAAATGTCATTATCTGGGGATACAAGAATCCCAACTTCTCGTAGGTCATTTGGTGGTTTGCATAATTTAAACACTCTTCCTGTGACTATATCTAGACAAGGCACTGTTTGCTTCTTTCCTGAGTGTTTGTGGGCAGCATCAAAACATATGATCATTTCAGATGCAGTCATCCCAAGTCTCTGAGTACAGCCATTGGTATTGGATGGTCCCTTTTCTACATAGCTTTTGGCTATAGCCTGTGCAAACTGAGGTGGAATTTTCTCTATGAAGGTATCTTCCATCAGAGGAAAACGTATGCATTTGGCAAAAATTTCTGGAAGGTGCACTTCTCTTTCATTCTGTTCATGTTCAAACCACCTTACAATGCTTTCATAGACGTGCTCTTCTCGGTCTACATTTAAATCATCACTGTCTAGGATACTTATCAGTTGGTCTTTTGTCAGCTGGAGAAACTCTTGCTCTTTGGTGACACACAGAAACTTTTTACGAATGTATTCTTTTGATCGATCTCCGAGTTCCTGATGGCCATAATGATCAGCAAAGATGAAGACCCCGATCGAATTCTGCGGGTCCAAATGACTGATCATATACTTAGCACATTGGTCCTGGATGGAAGGAATCTGAAAGATGCTAGCTGCCGTGAACAAGGCTTGAACATTGGCCTCTGTCAGAACAACTCTGGAGGTGTAGGCATAGTTCAACACTAAATCCATTGATTCAGCTTCAACACCGACTATTCGAACTTCTTTTTGAGTACTTTCTGTAAGGCCGCTAGTGAACATGGATCTAGAAAGGAAAAAGTAGTTAATATTATATGTGCACTACAAGTAAAAATTGTTGTGGCAAATTTTTAGAAGTGTAACATTACCACAAAGATAACCTTTTGAAACTGAAAAATATTTCCTCATGTGTTTCCTGATATTTTGCATCAGGATAAAAGTTGATCAGCTGGCAGAAGGACTTAGTCTGGCTAATCTTAAAACCTGTATTCTTAGGACCAGTCCACTTTGTGCCAACTCTGAGAAAAGAAGAATATACCACAAAAAGGTGGCTTAGAATATTCTAGCCCCTATCCAGGCTGCAGGTCAGTTGCCTTAGGGACCTGAGATCTTTAATCAGAAAGCTGAAGAATACCAATAGGGTTTCAGTGTGATACATTAGCACATAAAGACTGTCTAAAAACTTTTCATATCCCAGTGGAAATTAACAAGGCAACTTGTCCCCAAATATATCTTCATAAATTCCATCTTAGAAAAACAAGACATCCTACAGAAGTTCATATTCTCTACCTACTCATTTTTAAAACTATTATCTTGTGAATGTTTACTTAATCATTGTAAGAAATACAAAGAACATCAATCACTTCAATATCTTTGGACATTTTGAAAACTTTTGCTTAAAGAAATATAATTAATTTTCCCCAAGTTACCATATTTTTCCTATTTATATCTGTATATAAGATTATGACAGGGTTATTATAATGCTTACTTCTAGAGTTTAAGAATTAATCAATTCTTTGGATGTAATTTATTTTAATATTCCAAACTTTTGCTTATGAAACCAAGCTTTTTTTTTTAATTTAAAATATCTGTGCATCTATATGACTTTCTTGGCCAAACACTAAGTAGCCAAAAGCCTGGTTCTTTATTGTCATTTACAAACATCATATTCCTTTCTTTCCCTCCTTGAAGGCTTCTTTCTAAGCTGCTCTTAAAATTAATATAAGAACCAAATTAAAAGTTCTTTTAAAAACCTTGTGAGAAAAAGCTGTGTACCCCAAGATGTTTAATCAATGTCAATTGAAGTGACTTAATTTTTGTGATAGAGTTGATTAATCAGATCCAGGCCCCTCCTATTTTATTTTTAAGTGCTATATTATGAAAAATATATTTGAACGGAAAGATTTCCACTTTTAAAGCCTCCGCCAAATACATGAAATTAATTTTAAAATACAAATGAGAAACTTTGTAGGTATACATGGGCACAGGTCCCACCTTGCTGCCTGAGTTAACCATCTCTGAGTCTGAGGTTTACTTCTGCAATGTAAATTTTTAAGTTTAACATATGCAAGGGTTTTTTGATAACTGAAAACTAGATGCTCCAATATATAAGCTGGTTTTTGACTCAGGTGCTGAAAATCTCAGTTATATAGCTACCAATTAAAAAGAAGAATAAAGCCCTTCGTTAAGCAGATTAACTCCCAAAGGGGAACATTAGCTCATGTCCCTTTATCAGGGGAACTGCTGCTGATGAGTAAGCTGGTCTCACACATGGGAGACATGAGACACTCAATCTCTCCTGTCCTAATAGGTTCTTTATGTAAACTCTATATAAAGTGGGAGCACTTCCTCACACAAAATCCTGAGCAGCACTAAGTTTCTAATAATTATATGAGTTTTAATTCTAACAAGCCACTGAGACTGTGAAACAGCCACACCAGATATCAAGCTATTCTAATTCTTCCACCAGTGATGCAAGACTTAGAAACTCTTAAGTACGTCTTTCTAGATGTCACATAAGGAGCAGTACTGGTGCCAAGAAACTTCTGTACAAAAACCTCCACCGTGAGATCAAGAACCTAATCCTTAAGCTTTCCAGCCAAATAGCTTTATTTGAATTCACATAACTTATGCTTGGGAAGTGTTCCAAGCATTTCCTTAACTGCTTGGAAATTAAGAAAATCTGTTGTTGCGTACTTCAAGTAATTTGTCTAAGTCTTCAAAACTTACTTTAGTTAACTAAAGTACGACATTTAAGTGATATAAGCCAGAATATTACATTTCAGTAAGATGCAGACCTTTTCACTTGAAGTTTCAATGTGTGTGTTTTTGTTTTTACTATTCAAATCTAATATACAATAAAAACTTCCAAAAGGCAACTTTAAAGAGGGCCCCTCTTGTTCCTTGAAAGTCATATAGTGAGTAAGCAGCCTGGCTCTGAAATCAAATGCAGCCTCTGCCACTTACTAGTTAGATGGATGACTCAGGCAGGTCAGTTAACCTCCCTAGGCCTCAGTTTTTTGCACATGTAAACTGGGAAAAACAACCAAGCAGAAAGAATTGTAAAGATTATATAAAGCAACATAAGTAAAGTAAGTTTAGCCCAGTGTAAGCAGTAATTGTAACATATATGTAAATCCATTAGAGGTCTAATCATAGCTAATGCACAGTGTGGCTAAGTGAGTCTCATAAGCAATTTCCATTACCACACCAAACTTCATACCTTCTGTGTATATGAGTCTCTCTTTTTTTTTCTTTCCAGCTTATTACCTCGTGATGGTTAATATGTAATAGTCCAATGACCTACTTTAGGCAAGTCTAAATGGTTACATCACAAGCCACAGACTGAAGTAACTATATTTAACCCAGTATTCTGAGAAAGAGGAACCAGGAACTACTCTCTGGAATAGGCCCTATAAAGGTAAGCATCTTCGGAAGGAAAAAGCACATTGACAGTGTGGCTGTGAAAATTATTTCATTGTCATTCATGCAACATTTTTTTTTAATATAAAGGCTTTAAAAAGTGTGTACTTGAAACAAAATAAGTTAGACTCAAGGAGGAAATTCCCTCTATCATCCTCTTTTCTTAGAGGATGAATTTCTTTTGGGAATTTTCCTTTTTAAACTGTTTAAAGATACACAACGATGAATATGAACGAAAAAAACTGAGTTTAAAAATACTTGTGGAAATTTTGCAAATAAATCATCAGTAGTCTGGAGTCTAAAGCACATAGGAACTATCTTACATTCATTTTTATTTCCCTGCTTTTAACCTCATGGCATGAAAACAAACTATTAAATGGTAATTTATTTTCAAAAGAATAGAAAATAAAAATAACTTACTTTAAAAGAAATGTTTTAAACTCCAAAAGAGTTACATGCACCAAGGAAGTAGGTATCATAGGTAAGTCTTTGGAACACATTCTAGATCAGTACTGTCCAATGAAACTTTCAGTGATAGAAATGCTCTATATCTGGGTTGTACAGTGTGGCAGCCACTACTTACATGTAGCTATTGAGCAATTTAAATGTGGTAGATATGCCTTAGGAACTGAATTTTCTATTTTACTTAGTTTTAAATAACTGAAATTTAGCCATATGTGGCTGGTGGCTGCCATATTGGGTAGCACAATAGAGATTTTCAGGTCATTTACCTGAAACAAACAAAATTACGTTCACTAACTTTAAAACCAACTACCTGAATTCTACAAGAATCCCTCAAGTCAAAAACAAGGGCTTAATAAAATAGGGCCTGTTTTCTTGCATCTCAGTATAATAATCAAGTGGGCAATACTGAGGGTGAAAGGGAACCCGGTGAGGACATCCATCTACCATCATCGTACCTGAAGTAAGGGCTGATTGCAGCAAGAACGTTTCTATGACAGGAAAATGTTTTCCCGTGATCCACTTCCACTACAATGTCTGTCAACTGTCCTTCATCGTACATTGTTTTGAGTTGCTTAAGAATACTGCAAGCGTGGAAGGGGTCCATGGCATCGTTGGCTGTGTCTGAAGATGGAATCCCATTCGGTGTTGGGGAAGACTTACTTAAATCTAGGAGAAAAATCGTACAACCACAAGAAGTTTGGAGCCAGTTAACGGCGTCACGGGTTTTTCTGTTTGTTTGCTTGACTTCCCAGCCGCCCGGTACATACACATATGGACAGACACGGGAACTGGGGCCGCGGGGTAGGACCTGGGGAAGAGCGAGCTGCGATGCAAGTCCCAAC